TTTGTTTTGTTTTTGTTTTGAAAAAGAAAATATCATTATTCAGCGTAGTGCTTTCTAAGGCATTTATTTTTACCTACTTTTCCTAAATTAGAAAAAATAACTTAGGTCTCTTGACATGATTTAATACACTGAAGAGTTTTGAAAATTCACATCTTAAACGAAAACACTTCTTCTTCTCTTTGTTCCATCCAAAATTTTCTAACAGATATAAGTATTTGTTTTTAAAAGCATTTCTAACTTTATTTGTCGTAGCTAACTAGTATGTTAGCTAGGTTTTGGGTAGTAAATGTTGTGTGGAAAATAGTTTTCTCACTTCGTTTTCACGAGTTCATGCTGTTATTAGCAGATGGAAAAATTGTTATGAAGCTATTTGGAGTCATTCAAGTTTGATTACATCAAATAAATATTTTATAAATCGAAGCAAATCTCATTATTACATTCCTTTTCCTTGTATTCTAGTAATTAACGTGATAGAAAACCTAAAATTAGGCGTAAAAGTAGTTTATAATTCATGAGTTTTCGCTAATTTTTTAACGCCGTCAGTCTTTTAAAAAAGCCTTCTCGATGTCGTATTGCTGTATAAGCCCTGACAGGCSAAATTGCCTCAAAAAAATTACTTTATTCAGAGAAAATTCAATAGTTGTTTTGAAATCGGTATTTCCACACTTAATTGCCATAGCCTACTTTGAGAAGATCTACGTCTGTTCAGCTTGTCGGAAACTCTCTGACATTATAACAGACGTACACCCAAAACACATGCTAAAACTTATCAAAAAGATCTGAACGAAAAAGTAAATTTAATTAGTTTTTCAAATAACTCAAAACTTTTTTCAGAATACTACTTCAATGAAGACAATAATTACAATTTTGAATTTATCGTTGAATTGTTTTTCTTAAATTAAAAAGTCGTTTGGTAACGTAAAGTATGAGGAGAACTCTAGTGTGATTTTTTAAGAATTTTATTCAGAATCACGCACTTTTGAAAATTTCATGAGTTTGAATGAATAACGCGCTTTCCTTTTCTGAATTAAATATAAGAATCATAAACTCGATCTGTCATCGTTAACTAAAGAGAAATTTCTCATTGTAAGTGAGAGCTTTCGTACTTAAGGAGTGATAAATTATCATTTTGGACTACTTTTGCCGACTTTGTGTTTTGACACTCTTGGACTTTCTCGACATGTTCTGAAAAAATAACGAACACGACCCGTGAAATGTTTATAAGGGTGGGATATTGTCTTGACTTCCGTGCACTGTCTTTTTAGACAAAAGTTTTCACTTTGTTTGGCTTCTTGTTGAAAAAGAGTCTAAATATTATTCGGCTCGGTAAAAGAATTTTTGTCACGTCCCCGTCATAAACATTGGATTGGTTTTCTAAAGTAAGAGTTTCAAGTTCGTCTGATCATAGAATATTTGCCCTTCCGCTAACATCTCACCACCTGTAAATCATAAGATTTCAAAGATTCACTTACGAAAACTTCCCTCCTCAAATCACGTCTTAAATAATCGATATTCTCGTTTTATCTTCCTACTAAGTAACCTCATTCTTCACATTCTTAGTTCTAAGAATCTGTAATACAACACATCCTGAGTTGGCGCCGAATTTCTTTTGAACGGACTTAATATTTTCGCTCGCCCACTCCACCATTTTGATTTCTATATTCGAAGCTTATTAATTCAAGGGTCAGTTATCGCAAGTAAAGGGAAAGTATTAATTAAAATGAGTGTGATTATTCTACTTTAAAGTCTATTTTATATGTTTTATATATTTAAGTTAAGGTTCATTGAAATTCGTTAGATATTAGTAATTAAACATTGTATCAATGTCGTTTTTCAATAAATAAACTCAATAGACTTTCAGGAAAAAAAACATGCAAAACTGCACATATATAGATATATCCTTATATATACATAGCTTCAACTTTCGCTTGTCCAGTAAAGTATTACATATGGTTTTGTAAAGTTTGTGAATTTTAGGGATAGCGCATGCGCACTAGAGTACCGCGTGGGTTGATATAATCTGTGCACGTACTCGGACGTTTTTTTTTTTTTTTTGTTTGCTAGAAAAGAAAGAAACATTGTTATTAGCGGATTAAATGTAAATAATTTTTTCTTTCTGTGCCGGATGAGAGCGGATGTTCAGGTTTTGAGACAGCGTGTCTAGTCCGTTTCTTATTAGGAAATCAAAGATTGCTTTGATTTTATCGAAAACTTATTTTCCGTTAATGGAAGATGTTTCCGATTGTCGAGTACCTGCCTGCCTGCCTGCCTGCCTGCCTGCCTGCCTGCCTGCCTGCCTGCCTACCTACCTACCTACCTACCTACCTACCTACCTACCTACCAACTACCTACCTCCTACCTACCTACCTACCTGCCTGCTTGCCTACCTACCTACCACCTACCTACCTACCTACCTACCTATCTACCCACCTACCTACTTAACTATCTATTGACCACGTACAGAACTACGTACAATATTTCATTACCTACCAACTTAGCGTGTTAGCTATTTGCTTGCTTTCATAACCTTATAGTAGACTGAAGTTATAGTTTTTAATTTTTTTTTTATATCATCGTAATCTCAACTTTAAATTTTTATGGCACACTAATAAGCCTACCTCATAACCCTTTTTTGGTTCCTATATCCAGATTTTGTCTTAGTATGTTTCTCTATCTACTGGCTGTGATTCCCTGCGACTGGATCGCAAAAAGAGAGGTTCTCAAGTGCATAGTAGAGACAAGAGCGCAGAATCCTGGCTCCGTCTGTAAGAACGCTATAAATTCAAGTATTGGAAAGGTAAATAAAATATCAATAAGATGATAAATTCTTTTCCCGTTCCTGTATCCTATCAATCGTGCGTTCTGATTAGCTTCTCTAGCAGGCAATATTTTCTTAGTATCTGCCCGCGGTGACACTAGAGAAAAACGTTTGCGCATGCGTGCACTTCAGCACGTTTTCTAAGAATTTTGAAGAGTTTAAGTGGGAAAATAAATGTTTGAGAGTATACGAGAGTATGCGTTTGTCAGACCAAGATACTGTATTAACAAACACAATATGAAAGAATTAGCCTTAAGTTTCAAACATGGACACTAAGTTTTGGCATTTTGTGAAGTCCAATTTATCAGGCATGTTTGAATGTCAAATTTACTTATGTTTTGACTAATTTTTCACTCGTTTTTCACTCGTGTCGCCCGCGGTCAGATACTGACGTCATCCGCGCGCGCGCATGAGATACTGAACGGATTGCTAAAAAAGTCGAAATCGAAAGTGCCGATACCACCTAACTTGATATTTTCAGTATTAAATTTACATAAAGTGAGTATTTGAATGGTAAAAGAATTTCATATGATTCCAGTGATGCATCTTGGAGATATCAAGGTTTATACTTCCAATATGTTAATGAGTGTTGTTTCAGGGATCCATCTGTGAGTTAGCCATGGGTATACACCTAATTGAAAAAACGTCGGGTTCAAAAAAAAGGTTATATTATCAAAGCTAAGACTGAAGGGGAGCATGGGAAGACAAACAATTATGCTAATTTCATGCGTATTGCAGTTTTCCCTTCCTGTGCACATTTTATGCATCATGGCTTTGGCATGTTGTTAATCTAGGTCGACCTACTTTGCTCTACTGTGCATTTTTACATGTCAATATGCAAATATAATACACATTTCGGAGTACCCAAAATCCTTTTCGGTCTTAGCTTTGATGATATGACCTTCTCGAACCCGACTACGTTTTTTCAATTAGGTGTATCAATAAAATTTGAAGGTAAAGTTTGGAGTGTGCACATAATTTCTTTATAATATTTTGTTTCCCCTTTGGTAGGCCTTGATGTCAGTATTCCCCAACTCAGACGACGAGGTCGTCATCTACACATTAGAACAAGCCTTAGTTCTCATTCTCGTCATTGGCCGCTGGCTTCTGCCCAAAGGAACCTTATCGCGCGACCAACTATCTCAACTTTTATTAGTCTACGTTGGAGTGGCAGCGGATATCATAGAGTTCACCGAGATCATTAAGGAAGATGAGATCCGCAACGCAAAAATGCTGATGAACAAGCATTTCGTTAACGCAGTCATACTCTTCTGGAGTATCAGTCTCTTCCAGTTCACTCTCACCATTTCAGCTACCGAGAGAAGCGCCCAACGAATCGAGAAAGAAAAAGCGCAACTTCAAGAAGAGATCAAAAAGCTCAAAGACCTCGAGAAAGCTAGGAGAAGAAACCAAATTGCGCCTGCTTTGTACACTTATAAGCGGTCTGCTTCCCATCACAGTGTCGAAGAAATCAAGCTAAAATATATTCACACTAAGAATGGACTCGGAGTGAAGCCAGATACCCAAGAGAGTCTGGACGAAGACTCGGAAAAGGCAAATGACGCTACAGGGCGTCCAAGGGGATATTTCTTTCGTCTCAAGGGATTTTTAGTTGCATTCGTCGCAAAATGTCAGGACTATGTCGAACTCGTTAACCTTCTTGTGCCTTTAATGATGCAGGATGGTCCTTATCTTACCATCCGACTTATCGCAATCGCATACTACAAAGTCAGTCACAGCACATTGTACTTTTTAACCGTTAAGAATGCTCTGGTGGTGATGCTTCAAGTATACCGAATTTTCGTACTTTACTACAAGCCGCCTGATGATGATTCGGATGAGATCTCAGAGTTCGACCATTCGACGCGATTGACAAACGTCCAGACTGCCATCAAGAGTGTACAACAGGCGCGCCTTGCAATACGACTCGTTACCAGGCTACAAAAACAAGCTCGGTGGCATAACTCTAGTCGAAGATACAACGATCTTGAAAAGGCCGAGAGTCCATCGACCCCGAATACATGGTGTAGCAAATTTTCAAACTAAAAATAACTGTAATAAATCTCGCTTTCCGATTGGTTAGTGGCGCGTGCATTATGGGAGCACACAGCACGCGCGTGCACTTTCTATTGCTATCCTAAAGAAGAGCTATTGTATTTCATGAAAAGAAATAGGAAATTTTGCCGTGCTGTGTGCTTTACGACAATACACGCACACATACACACATAAATACACACATACACACAACACACACACACATACACACATAAATACACACATACATACACACA